TTATTAGTACTATAATTTGGGGTTTTATTTCTGTGTGTTCATGTCATCATAAAACAGTAACAATTTTACTCAGTATTTTCAGATTTATGTCTTTGACTGTATTTGCTTTTATTGGTTGATTACTTTTGCAAGTCCTTCCAGTCCTTAACATAGAAGTGATAAGATTGTGCATTCCCATCTTGTATCAGATGTACAAAGTATGTTTTATGTTATCTTTCATTTATTATTATGTTAGCTTTGAAGTTTTCATAGACAACATTTATTCTGTTGAATAAATTTCCATTTGTACCTAATAAGTTGACATTTAATTAAAAATTGGGGGCAATTTTCATAATTTTCTGCATCAACTGAGATAACCTTATTATTTGCTGTTAAGGCAAATTTTAGAATAATTATTGTATTTCTTATTGAATGCTCTAAAGAAACAAAGGAGAATGTATTTCTTTTTACCTATATTCTCATCAAACTTTCATTCATGCACAAGTGGCCCTCTGTCTTGTGCTCCTTCATTAAGACAGAATTGCCAATCTGCATGTGAATTTTTTGTTCACACACAGGCTCGTATATTGGTACCAAATATGACTAATGGCAAATGATGTCCTTCAAGTTTTGCTGGGCAGTGGCTTTTGAAGACATTAAGTGCCATGCATTCGTTTGTTGATCTTTGTCTTCGTGTCCTATTGAATTGTTTTAATTACATTTTTCTCATTGCTGAGACAAAATATTTGAAGTTTAAAATTAATGGAGGAAAGGTTAATTTAGTTCATGGTTTGTAAATGTTTCAGTATGTGATCAGCTGGTTCAAGGCAGGGTGACATTATAAAGGGACAACAATGCATAGCAGCAGAAAACAATACCAAAAATTGTAAGGGTAAGCCTTCTTTCCTCCTTTATATTGTAATTCAGTTTACCTGCTTAAGGTGGGTGTAGTACTCATATTCTTAATCCTAGCACTAGACAATGAATCAATCATATACTGTAGATTCAGCTGCCTCCAAAAAACTTGCCTGTCTTCCTCACCGTATGAGTCTTTGGGAAACATTCAAACAGAAACCATAACATGAATGGATTAGTACCCTGAGCTGAACTTAAAACCAAGGAAAAGATGATTAAAGTGAAAAGAATGCTGGCATGAGTCACAGAAGTGTGGTTCAAATTGACAAAACTTGGCCCTGAGGAGAAACCATAATGTCACCCTGAGACACAGCACAGAGGATTCAGAATCTCCCTTCCTTCTGGTATTTTTTTTTTTTTTTTTTGGCTTTAAGGCACGTGTCCCTTGGACTGTGCTAGACCCTGGAGCATCCTGTGAATGTATTTAGCGTCTATTCCAGGGTGACTGTAATACCTATCTGTTGTTACTGCCTTATGTCATTCATGTCATGGGGGGAACGGAGTCTACTTGATATTGTAGCGTGTCTTTGGTGTCATTATTGTATTAAAATTTATTCTTGCATGTGAATCTACATTCTATGTAATACACTGGGGAGTACTATCCAAAATAAAAGGTGTAGGATGAAAAAAAAAATCATGTGGATGACAACTGACAGCCTCTGCCTTGTCTCTATCTGTCATCTAAAAAATAGAGCCTGATGTGATGAACTCTTTGAATACTGGTAAAAGATAGTTACTTTGATTTCAGAATATTTGTTCTGAATTTTCTAAGAGGCAATGAGAAATTTTCATGTAAAATGAATAATAATGTATTTATTTTCAGTAGTAGAGAATGTTGCATCACTCATTGTGCATTTTTAACCCATATAATAGAGTTAATAACTGATATACTTAATATCACTTATTACTACATTTATTCCAGGAAAAACATTAGGCAGCTCAAATTTTAAGTGTTTCAACATTAAGGATAATCATTCAAGCCAATCTTAATGAGCACAGTTCATATTTTTCAATTGTGTTCTAAATATATATTTTAAAATTGTCAAGGTCATAATAATACTAGATAGATGCTAATGTCTTACGGTAAACATCTATGATTGCTTGCCACAACATACTTGGTTCTTTCCTCCACCTAAAATACCCTTTGGAAATATTGTAAGGCATGAATAAGAGATAAGGTTCTCATCACACTACGTGTTTCCTTAACAAAGGAGTAGCAGTGTGGCTACGTTTCCTCTGACTTTGACTTAGTATAGAGACACAAAGGTATTGTTCCTAGAATTTTACTTATCTCAAAAATATTTACTATTTAAAATTTCTTAGCTTAAGAGTACCTGAAGTGAAGACATCATAAAAATAGCAAGTGCCAATATTTTCCACTAAAAATTCTACAGTATAAATTAATTTTGTTAAGATTATAAATTGTAGTATTTGTCACGTTTGATTCTAGTATTTTTTTCTGTGTTTTTTCAGGTTCAGAAAATCATTTGCTAACATATGAATGAATGTCAATAAAGCTTCAACATACCTACTGTTGTCTGTATCTCCCATTCACTGTTTTGTGTTTCAAAATGTCTATAAGGGTGCATAAATTTCAAAATGTCTATAAGGGTGCATGCTTTATGATTCTTATTTTTCTTAGCCCTGTATTTAAAATTCAAAATTCTTGGGTACAAAACTGTTTCAACATGTCAGTTTCACATGTTGGTTTCACAAAATAAAGAAAAGAACATGCTGTTAATTCTTAAGCCTCCTTCTTTTGTCTACGATTTTTCTCTCACCTGCCTCTACATATTTCTGAAAATACTCCAATCCTCCTTTTCTTCATGTGTCAGATTTAACCCCTTGGAGTATCTGTGCTAAACTCAAGCTGCTTAATATGTAGCAAATTACTAAAATCACTATTCTCTCACATGTCCAAGCTGACCTTTGATTAAGTGCCGAGAGTCAGTCTAAAATCTAAAATGTACTTCTCCTTTTATAGAAACTGAAAATATAAAACCCTTTAACATTGTCTTGATCATTTCTCTATAGTTTTATGTTTCATTTGCTTCTCCCTTAGCCTTATATTGTTGCTCTCAGAGCTCACTCATGTTCACAGTGCGGGTTTGGTTGGACTGGAATTAGCATTCACAACCTTCAAACTTATGACAGCTCATGACATATCTTTAATTTTCATTCAGACTTTTGAAAGTAGAAAACAGAGACCCAGGTCTCACCAATAAAAATAATTGACAAAGCATTATGAGAAACTCGATATATGTTTACTGTAATAATAGCTAGAAATAAATTTATTCAAATAATTTTGTGGTTTCTAACTTTTCTGTAAATTTGTGATGTTTTGTTCACCATCTTGTGAAGTGAGGTCTTTGTGGTTTCTATCTTTTCCATAGATTTCTTTTTTATATATAATATTTGCATTAAGTTCATGAAAAGCAATGCCAAATCTTTATGAAACTTGACATGAAAACAAAATGAAAGTTTATCAGGCAGAGGGCACATTAACACATAAACATAATACCACTAAAGAGAATTAATCCCTAGAAAGAAACCTGTGTATCTACAGCCATCTTAACAAGATTGCCCAAAATGCATATTTGAGAAAAGAAACTTTTCTCCTCAAATAGTCCTGGGGAAACTGGATATCTACATATAAAAAATTGACTCTAGCCTCATTCTTTCCTTGAGCCTTAATCATTCATGGTATATTTGTTCCTTTCAAAGTGTATAGAGAGGTTAATGATTCAGAAAGTTTAAAATATTCATAAAAGAATCCATGTAAATGCTGAAGTGTATAATATTAGACATGAAGAAAACAGCAACAAAGAACTCCATATAAGCAGTATTTTAATATGGTATTAAATACTGTATTAATATTTTAAAACAGCATTTTACCACTGTTTTAATAACGAAGACTCTTTCCATATTTTGATAGTTTTCTAGATGGTCTGAGAGTACTATATACTGTAATGTCCCTCAATCCACTGAAATTTTTGTACAGATTTAAAATTATTAGATTAAGGGCTAAGGATCTGGCTCAACAGCATAGCATGCTATTGGCAAGTGCGAGGTTATGAGTTTGATTCTAGGACAAAACAAAAGAAAACAAACAAAAATAACCTGACCTAGTGTTGCAATCCTGTAGTCCCAGAACTCTGGAGGCTGAGGTAGGAGGATTACTGTGAGTTTGAGACCTACCTGGGCTACAATGTGAGCTTAAGGCCAACCTGAACTGCCTCGCACTCTCCAAAAAGACAAAAAAAAAAAAAAAAAAAAAAAAAAAAAAATTTAAAAAAGACCAGACCACCAATTACTGGATTAAAGGCATTCTAGGGTCATTAGCCTCCATTTATTAAAAAAAGAGACAATCTTGTCAAAAAATAAGCTAGAATAAGACTTATTTTTGCCATATTTTGAATGGTTCAGGATTTTAATCTATGTGGTATCTACTATATTTTTCCCCCCAGACTTAGGTGCCTTGGCTGATTTTATAGTCACAGTTGAACATTATACAGAGTGGGTTAAAGTGGAAGTCAAAATATGAAAATGGAAAACCAGACACAGAAACCTGGGACTTGCCGACCTAGACAATGATGAAATAGGAAAGTGAAGACAAAGAACCCTGGGAAGAGGTAATGGGACAATAGAAAGGACAGGACAAGAGATGGAGAGATGCTCATTTGCGTGGATAAATGATGAATATATTCCCAGGAAGAAGCACGACAGAGATAGAGCAGGCATTTAGAATTTTTTGCTCATCTAGATCTATCAATAATGGCTTATGCAAGTGGAGAGAACTTTCTAGCCACACAGGGATTTTCAGAGCTCACATGAAGAAAGCTGAGGACAGTGAGAGAAACTAGGACTCAGGGAGAATCAGTCTGAAAGTCAGGACCACAGGGGAAATGAAAGATGAAGTAGGAGAACCTGGAGAGTGGGAGGAAAATGATTCATTGATACAAAATTTCTATGAGGAAGAGATTGTCATTTGGAAAAGAGAGGAAGTCACTACTACGAAGTACAGAGCATAAAAGAGTTGCTAAACTCAGAGATCAAACACAAACTGAGGTAAACAAGATCTCTCTCTCTCTCTCTCTCTCAGAGAAATGCTGCTCCTGGCACTGGCATTGCTTGCATTTCTCTTCCCTGCTGGTGACACTCAGAATGGTAAGAGGAGCTCTGGCAGCTCCTGACTATGATGCATGAGATCGGATAAAGACAGGCTGTGCTCAACAGGAAGCACTGAGGTTCTGAGTCCTGAAATCTCCAGGCTCTTCTACCATGGTGGAATTGGGGTGGGAACCTGAGGCTCTGGGGCTCTCAGATTTTTTACAGATTCAGAGTTGTGTTGTCTTTTCTTCTTGCTCTTTCTTTCTTTTCACCACTTTATGATTCCTATTTTCACAGCCTTACAGTGGCCAACTTCTGTCCATGGCATCCAAATCTCATCCTTTTTCAACCATACCATGGCACAAAGTCGATGCTCAGGCTGGTTGGGAAATATGGAGCTTGGTAGCTTTGACAGCGACACAGGCACTATCATATTTAAGAAACCCTGGTCTAAAGCAAACTTCAGCAATGAAGAGGTTTTGGAGTTGGAGGAGCTATTTCAAGTCTACATGTTGGGATTCATCAGAGAAGTACAGGAACGTATGAGCGATTTCCAGATGGAATGTGAGCACACTTCTAAAATTGAGGGGCAGGAGATTTTCAAGTGTTCTATTCTCTCTTGCTTCAGGACATGGATATTTTTTGTCCTTTCACCTTCTCTCAGCTGCTCTTTTTAGAGAAGTCTCTTCCTATGTTCCATACTCCACAATGTATTCTTGTATATGCTGCCTCTGCACTCATCTCTGACAGATAAAGGGCTCCATTTTTTGACCAATCCCTGGACTGTCTTATGTGAACCTGCACCCTACTTTCCCACACTGTGCCTCTGTGATCTAAATTGTGCCTTCCTTGTCTCATTCATTGTTTTTACCTTCTCGTCCCTTTCTTTCCTCTCCAGATCACCTGGTGATTCATTCTGGAATGTTGTGCTTATGCTCCTTTGTACCTTCTTTTCCTTCTGCTTCTCTTCTCTCATCTTATCTCTCCATACATTTCACCCTGCCTTCATGACATGCATACCACCTTCTGATACAATTTACTGAAGCTTTCTAAGTGCTGCAGTGATTTTAGTTCTACCTACCTCTTTCTTTTTCTATACTGTTATTAGTACTTATCTGTTTTTCTTCTCCACAGATCCCTTTGAGATCCAGGGCATTGCAGGCTGTGAACTGATTTCTGGAGGAACCATTGATTTCTTCCTGAGAGGAGCTTTAGAGGGACTAGATTTCTTGAGTATTAAGAATTCTACATGTTGGCCTGCCCCAGAAGGTGGCACCAAGGCAAAAAAATTCTGTACTTTAATATTACAGTACAAAGGAATCTGGGATATTATGGAAAATCTCCTCACAAAAACTTGTCCCAGGTATCTGTTGAGTGTCCTAGAGTCAGGAAAGCCAGATATACAGAAACAAGGTTGGTACTGTTTTGTTTTACTTGTGTCACTTCCTTTAATTCTAAGTGGAAGGGTACTAGACGGGCTTGCTCAATAACTGAACTCACTCTAAAAGTGTGGATGAAGCAAGACCCAAAGCTGTATGTTTCTGAACCAACTGTTCTCCGCTTAGTTATAACATGACACTCTTTTTGCCCATTTCTGTCCCAGTGAAGCCTGATGCCTGGCTGTCCCAGGGACCGAGCCCAGGGCCGGGCCTTCTGCAGCTGGTGTGCCATGTGTCTGGCTTCTACCCAAAGCCTGTGTGGGTGATGTGGATGCGGGGTGAGCAGGAGCAGCCTGAAACTCAGAAAGGGGACGTCCTGCCCAATGCTGATGAGACATGGTATCTCCAAGTGACCCTGGATGTAGCGGCTGAGGAGGCTGCTGGACTGTCTTGCCGAGTGAAGCACAGCAGCCTGGAAGGGCAGGACATCATCCTCTACTGGGGTGAGGAAAGGATGGGGCTCACCCTGGAAATGGTGGGAGATGGTAAAAGGGTTAAATGAAGAGAGGGAGAGATAATAAGAAGAGATGCTTAGTATTGGGAAGGAGAGGTGGGAGAGGAGGAAAGGGTTTTAGAGAATGAAGCATACATAAGAGGTTTAAGGAAGGAATGGAGTCATGTGTGGTTATGATTTGATATGACATTCTCTCCCCTCTGTCTCACCCACCAGGACACTCCATCTCCATTGGCTGGATCATTTTGGCAGTACTAGTACCTTGTTTGATTGTTTTGGTGTTATTTGTATTATGGTTTTATAGGCGCTGGTAAGTTTTTATTTTTTTAATTTTTTTTTCCATACAGCTTGCTAACTCTACCTTTTACCTAGTAACAGGACATTTGCCTTCATCTTTCCCCAGGTGTTCACCTGTTATCTTTAGTCCCTTGTGTAAAGCAGACTCATAAATTCTCTTTAAAATACACATAGTTAAAATTTTTACCAGTTGTTTATGTTAAGTACATTCATACATTTTTGGAACCATTACCATCTTCCATCTCCAGTACTTTCCTCTTGAAAAGCAGACTCTGCTTTCCTTTTTAACAACTCTTCATTCTTGTCCTTGTTTAGTGCCTGATAACAATCATTCTACTCCCCACTTCTGTGAGTTTTACTATTCCAGGTGTCTCAAATAGGAGTGTCACACAACAGTTTTGTTTTCTTGCCTGGTATCTTTCATACAGCCATATGTTCTCAAGTTTCATGCAGTTTCTAGCCTACCTATAATTTTTCATTGCATAGACACACACCATCTTTCATGTATACATTATTCATTTGGGACACTTTGGCTGATTCTACTGCATAATGGTTCTCTGAATGTATATTTATCAATACCTTTTATTTTGAGATATTTATTCATATATTTTTGGTTTTATATTTTTACAGGTCATATGAGGATATCTTGTGATCTCTCAGTGTCTCATTTTTATGAGTTTTCATTAGTTCCAGGATATCTAGAATTTTGGATCATGAATCCAGGAGTCAATGCTCTTACAGCATTGTGCATATCCACTGTTTTTGATGTCAAAGACTGAATTTGTTGTAAGCTGCATCACAATGTATGTCAACAAAAGAAACATATGTTATTATATTTTGAGATTTTTATAAATAAAAAACATGTGCCCAGGTTTTATCCCTTATTGGGATATGTGTTTGGTATTTTTCTTGTGGTTGACAATGTGCTTTATATGTTTTACTCTATTAATTTGCAGTTACATTTTTTCAACTGAGAAAACAAACTTCTCTGTTTGCAAGTTATATATCTTTCTTCATAATTTATATATGTGGATTCAATCTGTAAATATTTTGTTTAGTGTTATTTTCTGTCTTCATTTAATTCTAAGCACATTCTTTTGACTGTAAAAGAATTTAAAAACATTATTATGTTTTTCATTTTTCACGTTGTAGGAAAGACTTGGTAGGTATTGTATGTGTTTTGTGAATAATTTTACAACATTAAATTTTGAAATTCTATGTGTTGGAAAATATTTTAGTACAAATGTTCTGAAATTTTTGTCAGTTATTAAAAACTCAATCTAGATGTAAGATATTCTAGATATTTTCCCAATGAAAAAGCTGGGAAATTTTTTTTTTCCTGTTTTACAGGTTATTTCTTCACTCCAGCTGTTTTTATTCTTTCTGTATAGACACTTTAAATTTGAACGAATCACATTTGTTGATTTGGATATTTCTTGTGACACTAGGTTTCTATTCATAAATTCTTTGCCTATGTCTGTATCTTCAAGAATTTTACATTTCATCTTCCACTAGGTTCAGTAGTTCTATTTTCTGAATATTGGTCTTTAATCCATTTAGATACTGTAGTACAGGGGAAGAGATATGTGTCTAAATTCACACCTCTGAACATAGATAGGAAGTTTTCCTAGGGCAATTTATTAAAGAGGTATCTTTTCTCCATCATATTTTTGGGCTCCTTCTTGAGTATCAGCTGATTAAATAGCTTGAGATGCTTGGGAAATCCCAGTTATATTTCCAGAATTGCTTTGTCTGTTTTGTGGCAGTAAAATTCTGCTTATATAACTGTAGCTTTGTACGGCCATTTTACACTTGTGACTATAATGCTTCCTGCTTTCCTCTTATATTTTTAATTATAAAACCAAAACAAGAGTAAAAATGATGATACAAAATTTCAAAACAGAATAACAGAGGATCAGAATATTTAATATGGTTCATATTGTTGTCTTCAAAGTAGTTTATCTGCTTACTACACATATGCATAAAAATAAACAATGAAAGTACAAACTGTTCTTTTGGTTGGGCTAACAGTGATTAGTAGTATAATTATCTAATATTTATATACATCAACATGTAAATATATATGTGTGTAGATACATATCTATATATGTACATATATATAGATGTATATATATGTGGTCTAAAATTTATATACATCCATATATAAATATATATGTACATATATATATATATATATATATGTACATATATAAGACATATATATGGTCTTTTCCCTTCTTTGTTTTCTCCTTCCCCCATCCCAGTTTTTCCTTCCCTTTTTAATCATTTTCTCCTCCTTTGCTTTCACAATGTCTATAGGACATTTTGGATTCAACTAAATTCTTGAGGTTTTTATAGTAGGGAGAAAATATAATGTTCTTTTTTCTTTTTTCCTTTATTTTTTTTTTTTTTTGTACTGTGAGTTGAACTCGACTTCATGCTTTCCAGGCAAATGGTGTGCCACTGAGCTATAACTCCAGCTCTAACACGATTTTCACTCATGCACATCCATCCAATTTCACTTACAAGCATGATGTCAAGTTGCTTCCTTTTTACCTTCAAAAACCTTGATATTATCTTTCTTTATATCTGAGTTGCACTCCCTGTTTTAAAAATATCATATCTTTCCCAACCACTCTATAGTTGTTGGGCAAGATACCCCTTCTTTTTTCTGGTTTCCTGGCACATGGAGCATTGGGCTCCTTTTTTAACCTTCGTTTGTGCATTTCCTTTCAAGTTAAATGTGTTTCTTGTATATAGCATATTGAAGGACATTATTTCTTGAGCCATACAGCCAGTGCTTCTTTTTATTGGTGTATTGAGGCCCTCTACATTAATAGTTACAACTGTCAGGCATTTCCTCATCTCTGCAATGCAATCTTTGTGCCATTGGTCCCACACTTTTCCCTTCCATTCAGTTGCCTGCTCTGCACGGTGATTCCCCCTTCAATGCTATTCCTGGAACGGTGGTTATCTTTATTGCTCTGTAGGATTTCTTTCAAAACTCTTTATAGGGTTGGCTTAGTGATCATGAAATCCTTCTGTTGTTCTTTAATGGAAAAGTATCCTATTTCTTCCTTATTTTAGAGGAAAAACTTTCAATTTTTGCCTAGTGTGATGTTGATGGGAGGTTTGTAATACATGACTTACCAGTTTGAATAAAGGTCCCTGTATACCTATTTTCATCAAGGTTTTGATAATCTATGGATGTTGGCTTTTGTCACAGTTTCACCATGTCTGTTGAGACAATTAGGTAGTTTTAAATCCTTGTTTATGAAGAGCATGATATTTATTGCTTATGTGTATCAGATCATCTCAGAATGAAGCCTACTTAGTCACAGTGTACCATGTTTTCAGTAATTTGTTACATTTTATTTATCAGCATCTTGTTGTAGATTTGTTATCTATATTCATTAAAGAAGTTGGCCTGTATTTTCATTTCTGTAACATGTCTGCCTGGATTTTTTACCAGGATGAAGTTAGCTTTTAGGAATGCATTTCATAGATTTCATGCCTTCCCGGTTTTATTGAAGAGATTGAAGAATGTTGGTGTAAGATCTTCCCTGTAATTCTGTTAGAAGTCTATAGTGCATATATCAAGTCTGGAATATTTCTTTGTTGATGAGAGTTTTTACTACTGCTTCTATTTTGTTGCCTTTCTGGGATCTAGATAGAGATTTTTAAAATATCATTTTCCTTCAGTCCTGCCATAATCTGTTGTGGGAAAACTGCTTTACATGGAACTCAGCAGAGTTTAGCAGCCAGTGAGAGTGTGCACATTCCGGCTCCTGGCTTGTTGGTCTTAGTGGCAGGTGGAATGAATTTCCATGGGTGCTTAGCTCTGTGGTGTCTGGAAACCTGGAGAGTTGGCAGAGAAGCTCAGAGCCTTGTCATGTGTCTTGTGTTGGTGGAAATGTGGCCTCTTTAGCTCTGCTTCTGTGTTTCTCTGCTGCCCCTGGTTCACTGAGTTGCAACTGATGTTTTCCCTGCCTGTGGCTTATTTCCAAGGCCCTATTCAGAGCCAAACAACTATTATTTTCTGTCAATGACTAATTTATCCTGATGTGATTGTTGCCCTCTAATTGATATTTCCTGCTCCCTTAATGCTCTAATTTGAGTGGTCTTTCCCCTCTGAGTACCTCAGTCCCTGGACTTCATTCTTTTTTTTTTTTTTTTTTTTTTTTTTGTCTTTTTCATTTTTATCGGTATCAGGGATCGAACTCACAACTGCCTGCTTACAAGGCAGGTGCTTATGCCGCTGAGCTAAATCCCCAGACCCCTGGACTTCATTCTTAATGGGATGGGAGCTGTGATAGGAATACTATAGGTAGTGAGTGCTTAGATTTGCAGAGATCACAGCTGCTTGCTGACTGGCTATCCATTGTCCTGTGACCTCTCCTGGCATCCAGTCACTTCATATGACTATGGTTCCCAGACACTCTCATCTCTGTTGTCTTGACTCAGTTTGGTGCCACAAATTACAAATAGGCCATAGTTATGTCACTAAGCTTCATGCTTTTTTTCCCCCACCTTTACTGTAGGGGTTACACACATTCACATAATGTATATCCTCAGCATCTGCTCTACAAGCAGTATCAGAACTGAGAAATGACTCTACTTTTTGTTCTAGAGACTCTTTATGCTTGAAATAGATGGCTGAGTTCTCTCTTTTGTTTAAATTTCATTCTTGTGCCTGTGTTTTCCTTCATACAAGCTTCTGGGTACCCGCCTGTCTAGAGAATGACCTTTAAGCAGCTTATGAGTACTGCTAACTCTAATCCTCTGTCTTTGTTGGACTGGTCTCAATAGATTTTGCAACTGCAATTTTTGATATCTTACTTGTTAAGGGTTGCTATTTCTGCATTTCTAGATATGGAGAAACTTTCTGGTAAGATTTAAAAATTTTAGTTTAGCTTAATCCCACTGTCAGAAAAATATTTTTATGGTTTATGTTTAATGACATTTGTTCATATTTTTATGGACAAAGATATTTTCAGATTAATGCTGCACATTGACTGGAAAAGATTACTTTGCTATTGCTAAATTTTGAACTTGAATTATATTACTTAGGCCATTATTGTGGAATACTGTATGAGTTCTACACATACTTTTGGCTTTGTTATTTGATTATTGTCAGTTATACTCCAAAATATCTGCATCAAAATTACACATTGTATAATAATTTCTTTGTGTCACTTTTTTGATTTATACTTCAGAGACTATCTTATGAAATGAATAAATGTTTAGAAACATTACATTTCTTTGTGATGAATCTATACCATTAAATATTAATATATTTCTTTACAATTAAGGTGGTTTTTTAGTTAATATAGCCATGCCCTTTTTTATTAGTATTTTCATAACTGAATTTTTCATCTTCAAGATTTCTAAACTTTCCTAGGCATAATATGTGTAAAATTTAATTCAGTTCAAAAATCTTGACTTTTTTCTTAAGGTTTTAACTTAAATATATTAATTGATATCTCTTGGGTTTAAATGTATTATCTATCATTTTGCTTTGCTTTCTTCTATTCATTCTCTTTTCCTTTCTTTTCTGTTTTTTACATACTTTGGATCAAGTGTTTTGTACTACATCATTTTCCTACTTGATAACATGTCTGTTCATGATTTTTACTATTTTTAATCATTCTA